CCTTTCTTCCTGGACCGCGCCTGGCGGCGCCTCCCCCACCACCCACTCTGCGTTCCACACTGGACCTGAGCTCTGGGTTCCAAGTCCGGGTGTGGGAAGACTACGACGTGCCAGCCGCTCTCTTTCGCTCCCTGTCCGGCCCCCGTCGGCTTAGGGAACTTGGAAATTCCCTGGTCCTGCTCCCCAGCCTCACAGAGGGGAAACTGAGGCCTGGCGGGGGAGGCGGGCCGCTCCTCACCAGCGTCTCCACACAGACGCCATGGCTGAACCCCTGAAGGAGGAAGAAGGCGAGGACGGTTCTGCGGAGCCCCCCGGGCCGGTGAAGGCGGAACCCACCAACACTGCTGCCTGTGTAGCGGCCAAGAACCTGGCCCTGCTCAAAGCCCGCTCCTTCGACGTGACCTTTGACGTGGGGGACGAGTACGAGATTATCGAGACCATAGGCAACGGGGCCTATGGCGTGGTGTCCTCTGCGCGCCGCCGTCTCACCGGTGAGCCTCCCTGTCGTGCACCGCTTACAGCTGTGGAAGCCGGTCCCGGAGAGTGAGAAACCTGCCCCCTCTCAAGCAGCCAGGAAGGAAAGCTGGGATCTAAAATCTGGTTCAAGGCAACAAATACTGGTTAGGTGCCTTTGGGTGCCAGGCTCTGCGTTGGGCACAGTTCTCTGAAACTGCCATGGTGCTGGTGCTTATTTCTTTAGAAAAATGGCAGTCCCAGTAGACCAGAATGGAGATCCTATCTTTGGTTTCTAAAGGAGAAATGTATTCTGGAGCCAGAGACTGGTGCAAGGAATTGATGGTGGGATGGGCGAGGTCTGAGATAGAGAGTGTGGGGAGGTAGAATGAGCACAGGCTTTAGAGTCAAGACTCTACCACTAACTACCTGTGCAGCCCCCAGCAAGTTGCTGAGCCAGGGTTTTGTCATCTCCCAACTTTGAATGGTTAGTATCTGCCTCAGGGTAGGTGTCCGTAAAGTGCTTGGCACGTAGTAGGTCCTTGCTATATGATGGTGGTCATTCAGTGTATGGTAACTGCATTCTAGAAGAGAGATGTTGAAAGGGGCGTTTTGCCAATCTGCAGCTATTCTGAGCTACCTCATGGTATCTGCCTTTTCCCTGCTCCCCAGGCCAGCAGGTGGCCATTAAGAAGATCCCTAACGCTTTTGATGTGGTCACCAACGCCAAGCGGACCCTCAGGGAGCTGAAGATCCTCAAACACTTCAAGCATGACAACATCATCGCCATCAAGGACATCTTGAGGCCCACCGTGCCCTATGGCGAGTTCAAATCTGTGTAAGGAGCAGGGATGGGAAAGGAAGGCAGAGGTGGGACCTGAAGTTTCTGAAGGGCAGCTGAACCTAATGTAAGGCAGGCTGGGAAAATTCCCGTGATTCCAGACCATTGTCCCTTAGGGCTTTGCCAGGGACAACTGGTTGCTTGAGAAGAGGCAGATGCTGCTGTTTTATAGAATCTCGGTATGTAGGATGGCGCATGTAGGACGTTCGTACAGTAACCGCACTCTTCTACTCTCGTAGCAGATATCCCCGGTCAGTCATAGAACACTTCCTTACAAAAAATGGGCAGGCCTTCATAGTTTTCCCAGTCTTTCAGGCAGCCATGCCAAACAATGGAGATGGCCCTAAAACTAAATCTGTTGGTCAGCCTTGGTTTAGTCCAGCCCCATTTTTTCTTTGATGGGGAAACTAGATCTAGAGAGAGAAGTGATTTCACTTAAGTTCATGGAAACGGAGAAAATCTAGAATCTTCATACCCTGCCGCTGGCCCGTGCAAGAATGCAAAGACGAGGCCATTACCTGTCGAGCTGGGAGCGTGTAGTGAGGCTGGCGCGTGGGCAAGGTAGCCATGCCTGTCTTTCTTGTCCCCTCTAGCTATGTGGTCCTGGACCTGATGGAGAGCGACCTGCACCAGATCATCCACTCCTCCCAGCCACTCACTCTGGAGCACGTGCGCTACTTCCTGTACCAGCTGCTCCGGGGCCTCAAGTACATGCACTCGGCTCAGGTCATCCACCGCGACCTCAAGCCCTCCAACCTGTTGGTGAATGAGAATTGTGAGCTCAAGATTGGTGACTTCGGCATGGCCCGTGGCCTGTGCACCTCGCCCGCTGAGCACCAGTACTTCATGACTGAGTACGTGGCCACGCGCTGGTACCGTGCTCCTGAGCTCATGCTCTCGCTGCATCAGTACACGCAGGCCATCGACCTGTGGTCTGTGGGCTGCATCTTCGGTGAGATGCTGGCCCGGCGCCAACTCTTCCCAGGCAAAAATTATGTACACCAACTGCAGCTGATCATGATGGTGCTGGGCACCCCATCGCCGGCTGTGATCCAGGCTGTGGGGGCTGAGAGGGTGCGGGCCTACATCCAGAGCCTGCCACCCCGTCAGCCTGTGCCCTGGGAGACGGTGTACCCAGGTGCCGACCGCCAGGCCCTGTCCCTGCTGGGGCGCATGTTGCGTTTCGAGCCCAGCGCCCGCATCTCCGCAGCTGCTGCCCTTCGCCACCCCTTCCTGGCCAAGTACCACGACCCTGACGATGAGCCTGACTGTGCCCCGCCTTTTGATTTTGCCTTTGACCGTGAAGCGCTCACCCGGGAGCGCATTAAAGAGGCCATAGTGGCTGAGATTGAGGACTTCCACGCACGACGTGAGGGCATCCGCCAGCAGATCCGCTTCCAGCCTTCCCTGCAGCCCGTGGCCAGTGAGCCTGGCTGCCCTGATATTGAGATGCCCAGTCCCTGGGCTCCCAGTGGGGACTGTGCCATGGAGTCACCTCCGCCAGCTCCACCACCGTGTCCCGGCCCTGCACCCGACACCATTGACCTGACCCTGCAGCCGCCCCTGCCAGCCAGTGAACCAGCTCCTCCCAAGAAGGAGGGTGCCATCTCAGACAACACCAAGGCGGCCCTCAAAGCTGCGCTGCTCAAGTCCTTGCGGAGCCGGCTCAGAGGTGCCTTGCGGAGGCAGTGGCCGGCCAGGGAGTGGGGTTGCAGAGGGGTACTCCCAGCTTGGACAGGCCACAGACTCTTACCTTCCCCCTGCCAACTCTCTGCAGATGGCCCCAGCGCTCCTCTGGAAGCTCCTGAGCCTCGGAAGCCGGTGACTGCCCAGGAGCGCCAGCGGGAGCGGGAGGAGAAGCGGAGGAGGCGGCAGGAGCGAGCCAAGGAGCGGGAGAAGCGGCGGCAGGAGCGGGAGCGCAAGGAGCGGGGGGCCGGGACCTCTGGAGGCCCCTCCACTGATCCCCTGGCAGGGCTGGTGCTCAGTGACAATGATCGCAGCCTGCTGGAGCGCTGGACTCGCATGGCCCGGCCCCCAGCCCCCACGCCAGCCCCAGCGCCAGCCCCAACCGCAGCACCAGCACCAGCCCACGCCCCGGTCCCAACGCCCAGCCCAGCCCAGCCCAGCAGTCCTCCTGCTGGCCCCCCAGCACAACCTGTAGGCTCCACCCCTGGTCCTGCACCGCAGCCCGCCTGCCCACCCCCTGGCCCCACTCCCCACCCGGCCAGCCCTCCTGGGCCCGTCCCTGGCCCTCCTCCACTCCAGACTGCCACCTCTAGCCTCCTGGGCCCCCAGTCGCTTGTGCCACCCCCCGGGGTGCCTGGCCCCAGTGCTGTCGGTGTTCTGCCTTACTTCCCATCTGGCCCACCCCCTCCGGACCCCGGAGGGGCCCCTCAACCCTCCACCTCAGAATCACCCGATGTTAACCTGGTGACTCAGCAGCTGTCCAAGTCACAGGTGAGAGGCTGTGAAGACACCTGGATCAGGGCCCTGGGAAAATGGGTTTGGGAAGTCCTTGCTGTTTGGCAGGGGCGGGGGGGTGGGAGAGGCTGTGGTGTCTCTTTATTCCGTGAGAACTGAGTGGCAGATGGGCTTTTGTCTCTGAACTTGTTCTCTTGCTCTTAGAAGGAGCACAGTGCCAACGAACAGGTCGTTGGGAGACAAGTAAGATGCTTTCTAGGAAGTGCGAGGGCTGGAGACGGGCCCTCGACCAGCGCCCAGTGACTGGCCAGGCTGGTGCTGTCACCCGCAGCTCTCCCGCAGAGTCCGTGGGAGCATCGGGACAGACTTGCAGACCTCTCTTTGCTCTTGGTAGTGCCTGGCTTGTAACCTGTCATCATCCGTTGCAGGTGGAGGACCCGCTGCCCCCGGTCTTCTCGGGCACTCCAAAGGGCAGTGGGGCCGGCTATGGTGTTGGCTTTGACCTGGAGGAGTTCCTAAACCAGTCTTTTGACATGGGCGTGGCTGACGGGCCACAGGATGGGTAAGATGCTGGACCAAGCTTCTGGAATGGGCCTGTGGGTAGGGTTTCCAGGTGCAGCAGGAGCCTGCCTGTGGGATGGGCAGGGAGCCAGCCTAGGCTCACAGTGCCTCTCCCCTCCACTCTCCCTGCAGCCAGGCCGACTCAGCCTCACTCTCGGCTTCCCTGCTTGCTGACTGGCTGGAGGGCCACGGCATGAACCCTGCCGACATTGAGTCCCTGCAGCGTGAGATCCAGATGGACTCCCCGATGCTGCTGGCTGACCTGCCGGACCTCCAGGAGCCTTGAGGCCCACAGCCTGTGCCTTGCTGCCAGGGGCAGACGCAGCTACAAGACTCACAGGAACGTTTCCAAGGGCTGGACCCCTGGGCCCAGCAGTGGAAGCTCAGCTTCGATGATTCCGCAGGTTCATCTCAGACACACTCTGCAGCCTTAAGCAGCCACCTGAGCCACCACCAAGCCATGGCAGGATCAGGAAACCTCTACTCCCTGAGCGATCCTTTTCAGTATCGTATTTTTTTTATTATTATTATTGTTATTATATTAATATTGTGACACGATCTTTTTGCCATCCAGATAAGGCCTGTGAAATATAAGGTTCCCTTTAGTGCCTAACTCTAGTTGTGTTTTTGAGTTGAGGGCAGGGTGTTGTCATAAGGGGAGCAAGGAGGACCCTCACATTTGGGGGTCAAGCAAACACATTTGCACGCACAACAGCCAAAGCAGTTCGTTCAGATCCTGAGGTTTTATTGAGCTCTTCACTCCCCACCTCCTTCCAGCCCCACAGAGGTTGTCCTCTGTCCCCCCACATGGTCAGACCTCAGCCCTGGGGCGAGTGGGGGGACCGCGTAGCTATGCCTACCTCGGTTGGAGCTGTTTTAGAGTAGCGTGCAGTAGCTGTGTGAAATACGGTTTTGGCGTTGAGCTTTGGGGGCCTGGGGCAGGCGGGAGGGGGCAGCGGAGGAGGACCGTGAGGTGGGGCTGGGGGCCCATTGTGCTCACCACTGGGGAATGAGTTGGTGGGAGGGAGGCTGAGGACGTGGCGGGGGGGTTACTGGCCTGTGGCCTGGCACACGCCATGGGTATTGGTCAGACTACGCCAGCCCAGTCTAGCACGCTAGGGGGGCTCCAGACGGAGGAGTCCACAGCAAGGAAGCTGGCTGAGGTGGATCACGAGCCCGCAGCCTCGGAGAGCGGCTCCCGGCTCTCCGCCTTGGGGGGAGGGTGGAGGCAAGAAGAGTCTCGTGGAGCCCAGTCAGGTCCAGGCCGGACAGCTGCGCCTTTCAGGGGAGGCTGGGAAGGCTGCAGGCCGCATAGCCGTGGGTGAGGGCAACAGAGGCCTGGCTTTGAGGTGGACACCCTGGGTGTGACAGGACCCACTGGGGCTAGAGCCACAAGGCCCCCCTGCGGGAAGCAGGTGCTTAGAGAGCAGCGGGCAGGGGCGGGTGGGGCCGGGGTGCAGAGGGAGCACTCCTGGAGACCCGGAGCGGCCAGGGGCGGCTTGGGGCCTGATGGGGGCCAGCCCCTCAGGCCCGGCGGATTTTCATCTCGGTGCGCTTGAGGGAGTAGTAGAAGCCCTTCCACTGGGCCCAGTTGATGCCATTCGCGTAGGAGAGGTGGGAGCCACCCAGGTAGAAGCCGTTGAGGTTGGCGAAGTGGCAGCTGCGGAACCAGAAGGCTCCCGACGAGAGGGCCGCGCAGTTCTGCACAAAGAGGTCCTGGTCCCGGTCGAAGGTGGAGAACTTCTGGCCGCTGTGGTACGACAGGGAGTCACCTGGCAAGAGGGGAGGAGGGATGGGGCTGCTGAGGCGGGGAGCTGGGCCCCCGAGCTGGCAGGGATGGGGGTGACAGGCAGGAGTGACGCCGTGAGCGATGTCACGTGGCAGCCTGGCGGGATGGGGTGCCCTCCCCGAGCCGGCCGTCGGGTAGCTGTGCTTGTGCATGAAGAGAAGCAGCCGCCCCTCGCAGGGCTGCCCGGACTGAGCGGACGCAGCTTCTCCGGGGGCCCAGGCCCGAGCTGGGTGGGAGCCAGCATGGCCCCTCCAGGCCGCGAGGGGAAGGGAGGGGCCTGGAGGGGGCCGGCGGGGGAGGGGGGCCCAGCGGGCAGTGCCAGCCCCGCCTTCTCCCCCGCGGCCCCTCGTTAGGCCCGCAGCCGGGGATACCTGCCCCGCCGTCCTCGAAGCCTGCCACGTAGAGGGTGTAGCCGTCCTCCTCCGCACTGACCGCGTTGGGCGAGATGGAGAATTCCGCGTACTTGGCCGCGGCCGTGTTGTTCTCAAAGTCCTCCAGGTCCACTCGCAGCTCGTACTTCTGTTTCAGCGTCAGGAGGTGCAGGTTCTGCAGCCCTGGGGGGCGGGGGAGGGGCGGCTGGTCAGCAGAGCCCTGGCTCGGGGCAGCCCCCGGCCCACGGGCCGCCCCCGGCCCCACCTTACCCAGCCAGTACTCCCCGTCGGCGCGGCCAAAGCCCAGCTTGTAGTCGTTCCAGCCCCGGAAGAAACTCACTGAGCCATTGAATCTCTTCTGGAAGACCTGGAGCAGAGAGGATAGGCCTGGGTGATCAAGAGTCCAGGGGGCGGAAGCCTCACCCAGGCATGGACCCTGTGACGCTGAGGGGGTTTTGTTGAAAGACTGAGCTGGCGCCTAAAACAAGGCCCACGCCGGCCCCAGGCCCCTCAGCGAGCAGCTCGTGGGCGCCAGGGAAAGGTGAGGGGGACGGTGGTTCTAGAGTTCTGGGGTGGGCCGTGTGACCTTGGGCGAATTACTTCACCTGCCTGGGTTTCGGGTCCTCCGGAAAGCGTACCTGTCCCCCAGGATTACTGTGAGGGTGCAGGCGCTGACCTGCCTCAGGCACCTAGAGCGCAGCCATGGTCGCAGCTCCCAAACTCTGCTGTGGGTGTCGTGAGCCCCGGTTTAGAGATGGAGAAACTGAAGTGCACGGAGGTGGAGCTTGGTCCCACAGCTGGGACCAGAACCGGGCCTCCGTTCCCTCCGCCCACTCACCGTCCACTTCCCGCCCTCGGTGCTCATGTCACAGAAGACAGGCACGGGCACGCTGGGGCCTGAGGGGTAGATGAGGTACACGCCGTCCGCCTGGTAGCCCTGGGCGTAGATGTCATCGCAGTCCAGGGGCTGCTGAAGGCAAGACTTCTCCAGAGCTGGGGGCGGGGGCAGGGACGGTGAGGAGACGGGGACCGAGGCGTGACCGGCCCCTCAGCGCCCTGCCGTTTGCCTCCCTCCCTGGGGTCCCAAGAACTCGAGATTTCCTCCAGGGGGGATGCTCCAGCTTCGTTGCCACCTGCCCCGTGGTAGAGAGGAGGCGGGGATGGCATCCTGCAGGGGCTCAGCCCTGAAGCCTGCCTCCCAGAAACGAGGGCTCGGAGGAACCTCTCTTCCCCCAGCCTGTCGGCCAGGCTTACCATCTCCCCGGATCCCGGAGACCTGGGGGGCGCAGGGGGGCGTGGAGAGAAGCAGCAGCAGCGGCAGGGCCAGGAGGGCCTGGGACAGGACAACAGGGTCACCTCACTGCACCGCCCCCCCGCGCCCCCGGCCAGCCCCAGAGCCCCAGAGCCCCTTGCGTTCGCTGCACTTGTCCCTGGTGCAAACCACCCCCTGCCGGGCACCCCTTCTCTGCCCTCCGGCCCCTCTTTCCATGTCTGAGAAACCCCACTGTCCGGGACAGGCTCGGGGCCCTCATAGTTTGGGAGTTCACAGCCCCCCTCTCCGGTAAGGGTCCTCGGCGCCGCGAGTCCCCCAGCCCCAGGCCCGGTACCTTCATGCTGCCAGTTGAGCTCACAGCGGCAGGGTGTCTGCTACCCCAGACGGAGCCCCAGACTGCACCCGCCCAGAGTTATGTGCTGGGCCCTGGCCAGCCGCCCTGGCCCCGCCCCCTGTCGCTGCAGAGCCCCCCTCTCCCCTCCCACGGCACTGAACCGGCATCTGCTTCCACAAGTCAGGGGGGCCGGGGGGAGGTGGGGCCCCGGCCAGGGGACCACCTGCGTCTCATTAGGCCTGTCAGGGGCAGAGCACTGGGGACGTTCACTCCCTGCTGAGTCACACGACTCCCTGGAGCCCCTCTACCACCCGCCCCCTGGACCTGTGGACGCCCTGGCACCCCCAGCCCGTCCTCTGCTTCCTCATGCCCCCCTCCCTCTCCCCCACGATGTCTTTATTTTCTCCTCCCCTGGCCTGTGTTTCATCAGCCTTTGGGGGAAGGCTAAGGAGCGGTGGGGAGGGCGTGGGTATGCCTGGGTTCTGGGGAGGGGGAGGCCCATTCTGGGGGAGCAGAAGGCTGGGGAGGCCGCCTCAGAGCTCCTGATGTGGGAGCCTGTCTGGGGCTGGAGGGGGATAGGGGCAGCGGGGGCCAGGCAGGCTCCTGGCAGGGCTGGGACATTTCTGAGGCGTGAGCACAGCCTGCAGGCGTCCAACTGCTGTCTGCCCCAGCTCAAGCCAGGGCCCCTCTCCAGCCCCCCTTGCTCTGGCCCCTCAGGCCCCCTCCTTTCCCCTCCCGCAGAGTTCCCCCGGTAATGTGTCTGGCTCGCATAGCTGCGAGCTGGGGGCCTCTCTCCCTTCTCTTCACCTCACCCCACCCCCCTTCCTTCTCTCAACCTGCCCCTCAGACTCCCCACTAGACCCCTCTTAAGTAGTGTCCCATTTTCTCAGCCCTGAAAGCCCACCTCTTGCCTCCTGCCCCCACCGAGCCAGGGTGCCCTCCTGTCCGCCTCCCAACCTGCCCTGAGGCCCGTCTGCTCCTCTCCTCACTTAGCTTCCAGGCCTCCTTAGAACCCTCTCAGGGTGCTCATTGTCCCCAACCCCTTCATGGATGTCCCTGCTTCTCTTTTCTCCCCCTCCATCCATCCTCTGCACAGGCTGCCAGAACAATCTTTCTAGACGGCTGCTCCGTCAATCACCTGCTTAAAGTCTGGTGGCTCTCCGCGGCCTCGGGGCTGAGGCTCAGCTTCTCACCTTGGACTTGAGAGGAATTTTAAGTCTGGCTTAGGCCTGCCCTAGGGACCTTATCCCAGACTGCTTGTGACTCATAAAGTACAATCTAGCCACACCAGATTTCTCGCTGTGGAGCACCCCCCCGCCCCCGCCTTTGCCTGCTCAGTTGTTCCCTGGGGGGCCCACCTATTGGTCATCTCTGCTTGGCTGTGAGTGCAAATGGGCAGGGTCAGCGCCATTCCTGCACACTTCGCGCACATCCCGGAGCCTGGCACGCGCACTGATTCACAGATCAAATGTCTTTTGAGCACCTACTTTGTGCTGGCTGCTGGGGATCCAGTTTCCGCCCCTGAGGAGTGGCAAACACAGGCATTAGACACTTGGTTGCAAACGTAACATTGTGCCAGCACCTCTGTGGAATGGATGAGCAAACGAAGTATCCAGAGGCACAAAGTAAGAAAGTGGCTCTGGCTCACGTCACCCCTAAGTCAATAAGCCCCTCGCATGAGCCCAGGCGGCTTTCGTGACTTGGTTCTGTAATTGCCGGTAAGTTGTCTGTCTCCATAGTTGTGGCATGTCCTGGGGATTCTGGAGCCCGGTTGCCAGCGTTCAAATCCAGGCTGTGCCGCCCGCTAGCTGGGGGGCCTCGGACAAGTTCTCTCTCCTCTCCGTGCCTCAGTTTCCCCCTCTGTAAAATGTGGATAGTCACAGTATCTCCTCCAAAGGGCTGGGATAAGGATGAAGGACTTACACATAACCTACAGCACACAACTATGCCTACGATCAGTAACTGATAAATATGAGCCGTCTCATCATCAGAAACCTCGTGATTGTTCCTTACACGAATGGATTGTCTTCTGTGTGATTTTTTTTTTTT